GAAGTTAGAGTCAGTTTTTGGAGGGCGATAAATCAGCACAACGAGCAGGCGGGGGGAGATGCACAGTTCAAATAAGCACAGCTCGAAGGAAGAAAATGACATGGTGGGTGTAAGCTGTTACAAGGAAAGCTGACAATAAGATCTATAACATTTAAACATAAAAACTAAAACAAATAAACAGCAAAGCATTGAATATTAAATTGTATTTGACAGTGAAACTGAAAAGTCTGATTGTGTGTGAGTGCAGCACCTGCTGCTGCTGCCCACAAGCATCAGTCTCCCTCCATGCTGGCCAAAAGAGAGTTGAGCATGATAGTCGGCAGACAGAGTTTGTGCAAAAGACAAAACAATAAATATCCCTCATTTTCACATGGAGATCCATAAAAAGTTTTACTTGATTTAAGTTTTGATTCAAATGTTATTCAAGGCCTGTTCCATTTTAATTCAGTTTCTCTTTTTTTATTTCTATGTGTCAAAATCTTCACTTTTCCTCTTGTAATAAAATGTTATTGAAGCAATAGAAGCTCTTTCTGTTGAAAGGAAGAAAGTTAGTTCCCAAAACCCCACGCCTTCGCATTTGTAGTCAGTCAACAGCTCCAAAACATGAACTATTTTAAACATGAACTTTGTTTTATCTGGTAGGTACGATCAGAAGAATCATTCAGACTGCTTAACCCTATCAGGGATGTGAAAAGTCCTGGAGATGTGTTTAGATCAGTGGGCCGCAAATGGTGGCCTGCGGGCCACGTCCAGCCCGCGAGCCCTCTCTTTGTGACCCCAAACAGGTGTTGTCCTGCTTTATACTGCAAGCTTGTGTGTTACATGCATTACAGCCAGCAATCCAAACAGAAGCAGCCCACCCCATCCCTTCCTTCCCAATCCCCCCTTCGGCCCTCTTGCATCTGGGTCCTGTTTGTGTGTGGCCCTCGCACCATTATAATTGAGGACCCCTGGTTTAGATTATTAAGTCTTGTCATTAAAGAATAAGGAGAACAGACAAATACATTAACATGTTTTATTATTTAATTTTGTAGGATTTGTCTCTTTCACATTATTACAAGTTCCAAAGTTCATATTTGGAAAAGTACCGGTAGCATAATTGTATATATATGTACCATCAGACATTCATTAATTCATCTGATGTAAGATAGTTAACCAAAGAGATGTGGATGTTGGGTTTGTAACAATCTTGTCACAATGTTGAAAGTAAAGCAGATCAATCTGCAGACGGTGCTGATTCAGCAAGTTATTTCTCATTCAAGCTGTTCTTTACAGTTCTCCTGTGGTATCAGATTTTTTATCCCTAATGCAGTTATTTTTACTAATATGTTCATAAAACTATTGTTTAAATTTTGTTGTAATAGAAGGTTCTGTCAAGGGGTTTGTGTTTATCCATCAGATTATCACAGTGTAACTCAGATTATTTTAAATAGCTACAACAAATTTTGAGTTTGTCGTTTTTTATTTTACAAGTCTCTAAAAAGTCACTCAGATCTCTAGACTAAGAGAAAAATTTGAATAATTAACCTCCACTGCCTAGTTTGATCCTCCAAGGTGATGTCTGATTCCCCAGATCATTTGCCAAATAGGGGTCGAGAGCTAAAACCCTTGAAAAATAACTTTTTGGTACGTGCATGCGCTGTCACCCTGTAACTCCAGCTGTTATGGTGATGTAGTGCATCCTTACATTCTAAAATAGAGATATCAAATTACACAAGAATGAAACGATGGTTGGCAACCCTGAAATATTAACAAACAGGGATGGGACATCTTCCTCTGAAGCTGAGACACCATAACGAACCACCTGTCAAGTCCCATGTTTTGGGTGGGGAACTCCCGTATTTTACTTGCTGTCCTAAAAACTTCCTATTGTGTTCATTCACGGAGACTCCATTCAGGTAAGGAACCCACCCAATATGGTGGCGAAGCTGCGCGCATATTCTCGCTTTATTTTGAAAGTCTCAAACCGGAAGTTAGATACATCAACGAAGGCATGCAGGTGGCTGTGCTGCTGATCAGGCAGAAAATCACACTAGGAGAGTTTCGTAGATAACTGCAGGTAAACATTTAAACCGTTTGTGCCGTTTTACTGTGCAGCATTACTATTTGCATTAGTAGATCTGTGTCTGTTTGGGTTATTTCTGTTGACGTGAACAAAAAGATGTAGTTTGATCCTCAACCATCACTTGTTCACTTTGGTTTTCAACAGCGTTTTTTATTCAGTTAGCTCACGTTTTTGTACAGCCAGCCCTCGTTAAGACAACTCCAATCCTAACCGTTTGATAATCGACAAACTAAGCAGCTAACAGCGTTATTAGTCGCTCCCTGGCCTCGACATATAAAAACGTGTTCCCCGTGATTTACGCTGCTGATGGTAAACTCCATTCTTTTTACTGAATCGAGTTTGAATCAGTCACTCACCAAAATAAATCGGGTTATTTGAGTCACTGAGTCAGTTGCCCAGAGTTCAAATAAATGATATTTTCACACAAATTTAAAATGTTCCTTGTTGAGCTTGTTGGGTTTTCTTCTTCGTTTGTTCAATATTTCACACTTAGTTTACTGCTCCCTTTTGTTTTTACTTCTGGACATTCCATTTTATCGTCGGGTGCGTATTTTCTTACAGAACAGGAAGTGGCATAACCCAAAAGATTTTTTCAATATAAAGTAACAGAAAAATGCACTTATGAAATAAGAGACAATAATATATTTATTTATGAGAACACAATGCGAACATGCTGTTAACCCACAGCAACATATTAATTTCCAAACAACCATTTTTGAAATGTATTAAGACTTACTCTTGTAACTGGTTTTGTAAGAATGTCTGCAGCCATTTCTTCTGATGAACAATATCCAATGTCTATTTTTTTCTTTTTCATTTAGGGCTTCAAGAGTGAAGGGATATTTGACATCAATATGCTTTGATCTGTGTGTTCACTGAAGTTTTTGTCAAAGCAATGGCCCCTTGGTTATCACTAAATATGTTGGTATACATGTATCTTTTTCTGTCCAGCTGAGTTTAAAACATGCTTTCCTGAGTGGTGGTTGCAGGCTTGGTGGAAAATAAGATCATTCTGGTCTGCATTTTCAGTGTTTCCCAACCCGGGGACATGTTTTCCATGTCTCTGCTTCAGCACATCTGATTTAGGCCTAGTCCACACGTAGCCGGGCTTTTAAAAAAATGAATATCCGCCCCTCCAAAAACTTGCATCCACACCACCTCGTTTAAAAAAAAAACTCTGTCCACACGTACCCGGATAAATACGTTGTTAAGGACATGCCAGACCTGTAGGTGGCAGTACTTCCCCCGAATTGTATCCAGTCAGCGTCGTCTGTGGTCTTCCGCAAGGAGCAGTAATTCCACTTGCAATAACAAACAAGCAAAAAGCGCTTGGACAATTGATAAAGCGAGCGCAGCTCTGAGGGCATCCATGCTGTCGGCTAGTGTAAACACAGGTCGCACACGTGATGTCAGCATTTTTTGCTGCGGAAAGTGACGTTGCAGACCTTAAAACACCGGCTTTCTCTGTCCACACGCAGACACCCAAAACGGAGAAAACGCAGATCTTCACTTTGGCTGAAGTTTTTAAAAAGATCCGTTTTCGTGTGAAAAAACTCAATTTTCGTGTGGATGACAGACCAAAACGTAGAAAAATATCTACGTTTTGGCAGATCCCCGGCTACGTGTGGACAGGGCCTTAGATTGCCTCCTCAGGAGAACATCAAGCGCTGGAGATGCCTGTTAATCACTCATTCATTTAAGTCAGGTGTGTGGCAGTAGGGAAACATAGGTGTTTAAAAGGGCAACATGGCAACATGGAAAACATGTAGAACAATGTGCCTTGAGGACTATTTGCACTCTGGCTCTCACAGATGTTATGTTCGCTGTTGGTGCAAATGTCCCGTGGTATTCTGTTCCCTCGGTGTAACGGCCTTGTTCATTTTCTTTCAGGGTATAAACCCATTTTCCATCTGTGGTTAGTTCAAATGTGTCCTTCTGTTTTAGAGAGTTGATGACTTCTGTCATTGCCTGTTCCCACCTGCATAATTCTAGTGACGTCAGGGCCTTATTGATGTTTGGGGGATTCCACAGTCACAGATGTTACATTAGGTAAATCTTTGCAGTTAGATAAAGTCCCGTTAGTCATCATCACTCACTGGTGAAATTACATTTCCACATTTGACCCATCCCTGTGGGGAGGGATGAGCTGCAGCTGCGCTCGGGAAATATAAATCAAAAACTAATCGTTATCGAAATGTCTGACTCTTATCGAGATAATTTTTCCCATGTCAATAAATTTGTAAAAATGTGATTAAGCGTAAAACATGTGACAGCCCCATCTAGTGGACAACCTTTGCTTCTGCGTATACCTGTAGTTATTGTCCGTTTATCGTTATCGAGGTAAAATCCTCAATATACAGTGATATTGATTTTAGCCCATATCACCCAGCCTTAGATCAACCCCCCCCCCCCCAGTCCAACCCCTTAAAGCTGAGTGTCATGGAAGGTCTTTTGTATGACCAGACAAGCATTGAAACCCCGATCTCCCAGTCCCAGGGCGGACGCTCGTACCACTAGGCCACTGTGAAGGTGATGTGTAGTATATTTTGAAGGTGTCTGTTTTGTTTTAGAATAACGGTCGTTCAGTCTGGTTTTGCTTATTACTTAGATTTCTTTCTGTGTCACTTTGTTTGTGTCCCCTTCCTCTTCTCTAAAAGGTTCACTTTCTGTTGTGTTTCATTTTTTTTTTGTCCTGTACTTTCTTTTGAAGGCACTACGTGCTCATTAGTCTGGATTTCTGTGTCGTACTTATCAGTTTGTGTTTGTTGTTGAACTTCTTTTTTATTAAATCTCACAAGTCTTTTTCACCTTTCCTTTGTGGGGGTTATAAACCAGGTATGCTGGCCTATTTTTTACTATAACCCAAAAATATAAACTTTTTTGCACCTGGGATCAAATTTCTTTTACATATGTAGACATAACAGTCTGACCCAAATATCCACAGTTTAGAGAGATCTGCATTTTGTGTTTACTCAGGTTTTATTTGTCTAATAATACATTTGTTTGTTGATGAACAGCCAAAAGAAATTTGATAGAAGGAAAATATTTTTCACAGTACTGTAAGCACAAGTGTTATTGCAAACACAAGTCTCAAGTCAGGATTTAAACTTGTTTGTTTCCTTTCAGAATGGAAGTTTCAAGGAAGAGACTTTTTCTGAAACATCTGGAGCCGGCAAGACCTTTGCGTCGCCACGCTCAACTGGATGTTGGTTAGTATATAGTACAAGCGGGCCAGGGTTCAGATTGGATGGTAATCTGAGAACTGTATTATTTTATAGGGCCACAGCTTCTGCAGACCTGTATCCCTTATGCACAGAATCTGAGGGAACAAGAGGTAAGAACGCCTAAAGACATTATGGATTATTCTTGTGACGGAGATGTTTAGATCATTTCATTAGTTTCTTCTGTCCTAACAAGTGTTTCGTGCAAGCCGTAGACGAATTACGTTATTATTGTGCTTGACAGACAAATATCGATGTGGAACAATTCTACAAGATTGTCAACCTCCATAGACAGAAACCAGGTAAGACACAAAACTCAAGGCAACTGTTGAAAATCTGTGTCTGATTCAGACTTTTCATGTAAGATTTGATCAGGTTTCATTTAACTTTGAAATGTTATAATGTTGGTTTTATTTACAGCAAGAATATCCTACACAAGGGGATTTTTAATTGATCTAGCCAGCTCCCCCGAGGCCAAGAAGAGGCCAGAACACTTGCCAGAGCATCCCATAGTGCTTACTGAGGCGGTACGTTGTGTTCAAGTCCAGGATTTTTAAAAGAGTGCACTCTCATTGGTCAGAAGAACAAATGTGATGTTTTGTAAACAGATTTATTATCTTGACAGAGAGATCCTCTGCAGTTAGAACTTGGAGAAGAAGCAAGTTGGAAAAGAGAAAGAAGAGATATGTGAGTCTAATGTCTTAAAAAGCAGTACAACTCCAGCCAGGCTTACCTACTTCACACTGGAAGCATCAGCGGCGTGGAACGCCACTGCTTCAGATACAATCCATTATAGTCTATGGGGTTATTCAGACCAGCCGCAACGCGAAAATTTTCAGGCACGTCCCAGACGCAGCTCGCCACACCGCACCACGCCGGTAAAGATAGGATCAGGTTCTATTTTTGCCACGAGCTGCTTCTGGGACATAATTTCAGGAAATCGCACATGGTTTCAGTGTAAAGCCTTCGATAAATTTCAAAATAAAAGACTCATACAGCGATACAATTTCATATCTGTAGATTATTTAATTCCAGCACCGTTCGAGAAGTTCAGCGATATGTTTGTATGGCTTTAATTCTGGCAATAGAGAGGAACAACATTTTATACAACATCAAATGTGATTTTATTTACTTTTTGGCGAGGGATTTTGTGATCTCGTGAGTCCAGTGAGAAGTTGGGGTTAGATTCATTATTCACAGTGCTTTTACAGCCTCACGTCACATTTCCAGAATAATTAACTTAGCTTATCAAGTTATGCATACGTGGTAAAATGTTATCGTGTTTTTGTACTTTTCCTACAGGTAACGGCGTCACTCATGGACGAAGCTGCACAGAGCCTTACTGCTGCAAATAGTGTTTTTGATGGTTTTGTACAAAGAGTGCCTTGTTGTTTTTTGTTGTGTTGTTTGCTTGAATTTATTTAAGATTTACTTCTGTTTGCATGCCTAAAAAAACATTTTTATTCTTTGTTGTTTTTTGTTGTGTTGTTTGCTTGAATTTATTTAAGACTTACTTCTGTTTGCATGCCTAAAAAAACATTTTTATTCTTTGTTTGGTTTTGAATTTCTGGCTACTGTGTCAGAAGATTGTGTGTTGTTTTAAAATGTGCCTTAACCACAGCGCTACAGATGTAGGAGACTGCTTGTACAAGGGTAATGAGTAACATTGTTCATGCTGATGGTGGAAATATAAATGACTTGCGTGGTTATATTGTATGTTAGACATAATCACAATGTTTAATTCAGTCAAATTATTATCTTAAATTCCATTAGTTAAAGCTGTTTTTACATGTATTTGGATTGATGCAAATGCGTCAATGCTTCTTTTATCTAGAACTTGAATTTTAAGTTGCCTCCAGTGATGAGTGATGACTAGCCTGTTAAAGTAAAGCCGTTTTGTTCACAGCTGTGGTAACGGAGCTTTGGATGAATGGTTGCTTCACTAATGATGAAATAATAGAATGTTGTTCATAGACGTTAGTCACATATTTTCATTCAGAAAGAATAAAAAGGTTTAAATTTCAGGTTTTTAAATATCCATACACATGGTCAGCAAACAGATTTGATCAAATTTAAAGTAGAAGCTGAAAAGGATTAATAAATCAAGCATCTGTACATCATAGATTATACCAGTTTAACATACAAAACACTATTTGAATTTTAATATGTAGGCTATTGTAAAAAAACATTAGTAAAATCTACATTTTAAAGAATAACATTTTGATTTAATCTTTAAATTACAATCAGTGAAACTTGAGAAAAAAATATTTTACAACATTTTTGACTTGTTTTTTTAATTCTAAACTGTTTTATGTGGAAATGTTCATTTTTTAAGCTTTAAGATAAATAATTTTTATTAACAACCCACTCAGAAATGATTCAGTTTTATGGGTTTTTACATTATCATTCATGTATTTTGTGAAACATGATCCTTTCTCAACCTCAACGGGCGTTTTCGCAGTCACGGGAAATCCAGAGGCGCTTGCACATCCGTCGTTAGTTAGTCACCTCTGTGCGTGACAGTGAGCGTGCATCTCGCAGCCAATGGGAGGACTGATCAGCCCGTGACGTGTTCTGACGCAACCTTGGGCCGGCGTCCCACAACGGTGGAGCTGTCAGATGTTTTAATCGGAAATTCATCTTTAATAGCTGTAGTGAAAGGGCAGCAGACATCTGTAGACTGACTGACTTTCAACCATCCGGCTGGATTTTCATCATAAAGGTAAACATCGAAATCGTTGTTTGTTGGAGATAAAGTGCTGCGTGCGCGCGATGTCTAATCTCCTTGTAGAAGGTGGGGTTTGTTTAAAATAACAAGAAGGCTGAGTTTAGCAGATGGTTTGTTACCAGAGCCCGAGTACTGTCAGTTTCTCTGTCCTGATCTCTGCCTGCGAAACTGTCCGGACTCAGCCCGGCTGCTGGTTTCTCTTTCAGAATCATGGACCTCACGGGCGATAAGCCAAGTGCGCCTCGCAGCAGGTGAGACATTTCTGTAAATGATTTTTGATCCTCTCTCATACTGAATCTCATGAAGGTCATAAACATAATGACGGAAAGGTGTTTTTTTCTTTCAATATTTCCTTAAATGATTCCTCCTGAGAATCTTATAAAGTTTGGTCCCAGTAGTCATCATCACTGGTGAAATTACATCTCCATATCTGACCTATCCCCCTGGGGGGAGCTGCAGCAGTGGCTGAGCTCAGGAAAGCTGTGGCTGCTATATTGATCTTTGATAGATGTATTATTACAAAAGAAACAGAAACTAGACCGTAGATCAGGGGTGTCAAATATGCGGCCCACGGGCCATATCAGGCCCGCAAGCAGGTTAAATCCGGCCCGCGAGATGGTTGTGTAAACTTTATTTTCATACTTTACAATGTAGAGTGAAAATAAATGTATCTTTGTGGGCAAGTTTTCTCTGTAATGAGTATAAATAAAACAAAGCTGCGCTCAAGACTCACACAAGAACTTGAATCACATCCAAGGGCGTCAGTTTGTTTTCAGAATTGCTGGGGACAATAACCATACACTTGAGTGGGGTTTAAAAATTGCTGGGGACAATAAAGTAGGCTAACACAGGGGTCGGCAATCCGCGGCTCTGGAGCCGCATGCGGCTCTTCCATCCATCTGATGAAGCTCTCTGTGCTTGTAAAATAATAAATGGATATTTAAATAAAATGCTTTATATTTTACTGCATTAATTTTACACCTGTATGCCAATTCTAAATGTAGATTGTCTGCGTAAACCTGAACAGGTCCAACCCGGTCTGCGGTGGTTGACCGGTCACGCTTTGTGCGTAATCACATCGGCACTTTATGAGCTGAAGAGGATGTGAGATTCTGGGCTTCTCCTCAGACGGCTCCTGGATGTGTCGCCACATTGGAGCCAGGAACAAGCGCTATTCAGCCAAAGTTTCATAATCAGGGAACATTTTCTAAGTGACAAGTCTCTCTGAGAGACGGGGTTTGGAAAACACTCGCTTCAGTGGGAGGAATCTTCCCGCATGCGCACTGCATGGTTCTCTGCGTGGCTCTGGGGTTAATCAAGTTTAATTGTTTCTCTTTGCAACAATCTTCACAGGAAGGCAAAACAGTTAAACGGCAGGTTACATATATTTCCATTTGACTGTTTATTTTGACAGATGAACTCAAGGATGTTGCTTGGTTTGAAATAATTACCCAGACGCACACGGATGCTCATGGATGAGCTGACAGTTTAATCGTTAACGCACATCGCGGAGGTAAAATATTCCCATCAGAACATCAGAGCTCTTTATACTGGACACTGTGTTCAGCGCGGCTCGGAGCGCCCCCGGTGGACAGTGAGCTGAAGATCTGGGGTTCCAGCGCAGTGCAGAACCACGCGCATGCGATGATTTCCTCCCACTGAAACAGTCTGGAAACCCGGTCTCTCTGAGGGATGTGTCACTTGGAAAATGTTCTTTTTATGAAATGATGAAACTTTGGCTGAACAGCGCTTGTTCCCGTCTCTAATATGGAGACGCATGAAGCGTATAGACATTTGATCACGCACAAAGTTTATGTGGAGCAGAAGCGGTCGGGCCACGGCAGGTGAAATGTTCCTAGCCTACATGAAGTGAAACTGTTTAATTGTAACATTAATATGTTACTGGACACGCTGGTCTGGTTGGTTAGACCAGTGTTTGAAGCGGAAAACACACACACACACACACACACACACACACACACACACACACACACACACACACACACACACCAATTAAAATATAAAATAATGCTGATAGCATGGACTAGAAGACAGGTGATGGTTTACGTATTTAAATGATGATCAGGCTGCTGTAAAATGTAATCTCCATCCACATCCAGACACAATTATCCTCTATTCTTTCTCTTGTTGCTCTGCTCTTGTCTGGGCTGATCAGCTGATGGTGCGCGCCTAACTAGCGGCTGATGCACATTTTACGCATTTGGAGAGGTGGACTGGATGCTTTGCGTTTACTGGAAGATGGTCCACTTAACGCACGGGTGTAGACTACATATTAATGACAAATGAATGAAAATTAAATTGTGAGTTTTTACTTCATATTTTAGTAATAAAAATGACGGGGGAACACATTTATGACATCTTTTAAACGAAATTTTCTAGCGCGACCTGCCTGCTTCACTTAAGTCACTGCTTATTAAGGTCCGTCCAAAATTACCGTGGGAAACGGGTAATAATGGCTCTTTGATGGGAACAGGTTGCCGACCCCTGGTATAAGATCTGAGCTGGTAAAACAAAAATCCTCATCAGCAGGCGTTTTTGAAAGTGGGGGGGGGACACAGCTGCCAATCACAAATTTTGCCGGGGACATGTCCCCGGCGTCCCCGGTTAAAATGACGCCTATGATCACATCCTGAAGTTGGCTGCCACTCAGGATGTGACTTCTGATATTGATGTGCTGGTGAAAGCTAAAAGATGTTAAGTAAAATGAGTCAAATATACTTTAAGTGCTGCATGAAAGTGATCTAGCCATGTGATCTGTAAGCTCTTTGAATCACTAAGGAATGTTTATTTATTTATTGATATATATATATATATTTTTTCAAATTTTCAAGTACACTTCAGGTGTTGTACTATTTTGGATACACTGTCCTCAGGCTCCAGCCTTGTTTTATATCGATTGTATTAAAACAAAGAAAACAATCTGAAGTTGTTTTTAATTTACCGGTCCGGCCCACTTGGGACTAGATTTCCCTCAATGTGGCCCCTGAGCTAAAATGAGTTTGACACCCCTGCCGTAGATAAACGAGGAGGTTGTCTAATGTTGGTTTCAACTTAAACATTTATTCACAAACTTAAAAATGAACAGTAGTGTTACTTTGTTTCACAAATAGCTGATTAGCCGTGGATGAAACTTTGCATTTTGGTACCTAGATGTGGGGAACATGACGTAATAAAATTGAAGCTGAACATCACAATAGAGATAGATGGACTGGTCTGCTGTCGAGTCTGTCGCTGTTGTGTCCGCTGGTATGGCTCATCACCAGCAGGCCAGACAGACTTTTTACGGTGCTCTTCAAAATAAACCCAGAATCTGTAAATCTCCAAAGAAAAACTGTCACAGTAATCCTTTAACAATAACCCACACAATACAGAAGTGATCTATACCTTCGCTGCTTCAGCCCCGTAAAGTCCAGGCGTGTTAATCACTTAATTGCTGTACTAAACTATTATATCAGAACCTTAAACAGGTTTGTTGATGCATGGATGAAAAGGATTTGGGTGATAAACCGTGTTTTTTTCTGTTATCCAAAGGGGTTCAAAGGAAGGCAATTGCACTGCTTCTGTTTCTGCTTGTTAAGCAACAATAGAAAGTTTATAAGCTTGACCCTCCCTTATTCCAGGCAGAATTGACAAAGCTGCTCGGATGAGAAGTGAAACGTCAATACAAGAAAGCAAAGAAGTCTCGATGCCTTTATTCAAACACCTTAGGATGACTGAGAACCGTCACCAGCTTATTTTGTGTTAGTTTGAATGATCTCTAACTAAAATGAAACCTAAATGAGAGGAAAAGGCTGTTGCACACTCATCAGTGTGAAAATAAGTCAAGTAAAAGTAAGTAGAATGTAGTTTAAAGTTAAACTAACTTTAAATTCTGCCTGTTTCTTATTGTAGTCCTGTTTATGTCCATAACCCACACCTGGACAGTCTGAAAGATGACGTTCTCTACCACTTCAGCCTTGGGACTAGAACTCACAACCTGCCAGCTATGTTTGGGGATGTGAAGGTAACAACTCTTATCATACATCTATTACTTACGAAGGCGTATTACCGTCAGTGCGGGGGGTGTTAACAAGTTAAAGATTTTGTAATAACGAGAACAATTGTAATAGTAAAATGATAGTTATATGTTGTTGCAATCTACTCTGATTGAATGAGGCACAGGGTTCAAACTACAGGGGAGCTAAGGGTGCCTGGCCCCCCCTGAAAGGATGACGGGCTCCCCTACAAGCCTTCAAGGAGCCTTCAGGAGGAACCTGACAAATGTTCCTGTTTCAACCTGTATAACATTATTTATACGGCCTCTCAGCATACTGAGACTTCTTTTGAATGGAGAGGATGGAGAGCTCTGATTGTTTGTTCATACCAGGCATGTTTATCCTGCACACGGCCACAGTAACATTAAGTGGCACTACCAAATATAATTAACACACAGTCGTTCATGTCAGCCCATATTCTCTCTGGTACTTTCTGTCTTTTACACGTGCTCCGGTGATTTCACCTCACCTCGTGAGGTTTATATGATGTTAAAACAAGAATCTCTCGTTATTACGGGATTCTGAGCCTTTTTTTAAACCCACGCTGACATTAATACTTGTTTGTAATTACTCCAGTGATAGTTTTATTGAATATTTTTGTTACAGTTATCAGTTACCAAAGCCATTAAAAACCAAGTTCACTATTTTTTCATCACATTGGCAGTGGTCTCTAGAATAAAGGAATGCCTTGTTTGTCTCTGTGGGAAAATAGCTCTGGCACTCCTGTTTCAGGATCTAGAAGCGAGCCAGATCAGAGCTGAGCTGAACATAGTAAATTTTGAAATCTTATTTTTGGATGGCTGGACTTCTTGCCTCTGGCTGGCAAACAGCAATGCAACTCTACCACTGACTCTATTTTATCTTTCACACAATAGAAAATGATGGGCCAACTCATCTCTGGGACAACATATTTATTTTTGTTGGAACTACAAAAACACATAAATACTGAATAATCAGAGCATGGTCAGTTCATGTTCTGTTCACTGTCTCACCCCTACCGCTGGTCATAAAATTAGAATATCATGACAAAGTTCATTTATTTCAGTAATTCCATTCAAAATGTGAAACTTGTATATTAAAATTATTCATTACGCACAAACTGATATATTTAAGGTTTATTTACTTTCATGTTGATGATTATAACTGACAACTACTGACAATCTGAAATTCAGTATTTTACAAATTAGAATATCAATTAAAATCAATGCAAAAAAAGGAGTTTTAGAAATGTTGAGCAGAAGAAAAGCATGAAGATGTACAGAACTCAATATTTAGGTGGGGCTCCTTTAGCCTGGGTTACTGCAGCAATGCGGCATAGCATGGAGTCCGTCAGTCTGTGGCACTGCTCAGGTCTAAGGAGAGCCCATGCTGCTCTGACAGTGGCCTTCAGAGCAACATTATCTAATAGCAGAAATGACAACAAGTTTTTTTTCACATACGACTTCCCAGAAATGGAGCAGGGCTACTATTTTCCTTAATTATATAGAGCCTCATCTGCAACACTGATGTTTTATCTGCACAAATAACACAAGCCTGAAGCAGTTCTGCCATGTTGTAGAGATGCTAATGCTAACAATTAGCTTCTAATAGCTGAGACAACAGCTGTCCTTGGTACGGGCCAAGAGTTTCTCCGTCTATTTTCTATCGGTGGCTAATACGGAAAATAGGGGTTGAAGAATATTTTCACGTTTTGCCTGCATGTTAAACTAAGATCGACTGATTGTATTTAAAAATAACAAGTAAAAAATGGTTTCTCAGTGAACTTGGCTTTTAAAGGGATGCTAATCAGTTTTACTTGCTTTTAGCACCCCCTAGTGTCTGAAGCAAAACCAAGACCTACAGTATCTCTTCACTGTGCTTTTGTCTTTTAAACATCTTAATCTAAGAGCTGAAACTCCTCCCAGTTTTCCTAAGTGTCTAGAGGAGTGAGTCATCACTGAATTAAATAAAGCTGTGTTAATGATTTAAAACATGCAGGAAACATGATGAAGCCAGACAGCAGCACAAGGTAGGTCAGCTCAATTTTTTCTAAGTCCCAGCCGACCGGACCTGCAACTGTGATGTTGCAAGTGTGATATTCTGGCCTCAGGGAGCGATAGGGGCTGGGTGGCCATTGATTAACCCTGTAAAGGGTCGTTTTAGCACATACTGGCTCAAGAAAATGATTTAAAAGTATTAAAAAGTTGCTAAGTATTCCTTTGAAAGACTGAAGGTATTTAGTCACTGTGGGGTGAAATCCTATTTCATTTTTGAAATTTTAAACTGGTTTGTCTGCAGCCCTGATAGTAATATTGTGTTTTTATTTTAGTTTGTTTGTGTTGGGGGCAGTCCCTGGAGGATGAAGTCATTCACCGAGTACATTGCAGCTGAGCTTGCGATAGAAGAACCCAATTCGGGGTATGCTAATATCTGTGCAGGAACAGATCGCTACACCATGTACAAAGTTGGACCTGTACTCTCTGTCAGTGTATGTGACCACCTAATTTAACTTTCCCTTTCTCTGACCTGTGATGTCTTTATTTTGTTGTAATGTAAGACTGACTTCTGTTTGATGTGTTTTTGCAGCATGGAATGGGCATCCCATCTATCGCCATAATGTTGCACGAGCTCATCAAGCTCCTCCATCATGCACACTGCACAGATGTTACAGTAATTCGCATTGGGACATCAGGGGGAATAGGTACAACCTTTTACTTATTAATCTGTTTAACTTTTTCACTCACTAACAGTGTTGAGATTAAAAGCATTTAAAACAATGACGAGTTTCCAGTAACCTGTAATCTGATGAATTACTGCCTACTTTCAACGCGGTTTCCTTTGCTGATAAGAAAATGTGTTACTATAATTCAGCTGCAAGATGTGTCGAAGTTGTCATCTAAAGGGACAGATGTTCACATACAAGGGCATCAAGGGCAGGGAGCAACAAGGAAGACGAGATCAGTAGTCAAATCACAGGCCCTCGTTTCATCATACATATAGAATCTAACACTGACAAACCCTTTTTTTCCCAAAGTGCATAAAAATCTTTTTAAAAATGTAAACATTTAGTATGTGCATTCTGAAATTATAATTGTGAAGGTCGATAAAGAACGGAAAGGAACAAATAACTGCTGCATGGTGGCGCAGTGGTTAGCACTGTTGCCTCGCAGCACGAAGGTTGCAGGTTCGAAACTTGGCTCGGCTGCGGCCTTTCTGCGTGGAGTTGCGTGTTCTCCCCATGCATGCGTGGGTTTCCTCCGGGTACTCCGGTTTCCCCCACAGATCACAGCATGCCCTATAGGTTATAAATTGTAAATCGCTTTGGATAAAAGCGTCTGCTAAATAAATAAACATAAATAACTTTATGAAATTTTTATTTCAAACTTGAACTGGACCTCTATTGACAAGTGAACACTTTCCGCTACGTTTGGTTATTCGGCCATTGTTCAGGGTCGTTTGATAGCAAATGATGTCTTGTATTTGTAGATCTGGTGGGGTTAGCATCTCAAAGAGGTGATGCTGGGTCCGTGGATAAGTTTCCCCAGAGAGAAAGCATACCACTTTATTGCAAATAAATTTGGAGGCTACAGCATTTGTTAAGTATCCTAAGAAATATGTGTGCACACCTGCAAATGATGCAGTATGGCTGTCTGATGAACCAGGGATGGGGGCATAGCTGCCTGTTGTGGATGCAGCTGGTAAGATGAAGGTAGCTGGATGTGGATTCTCACTGAGCTAAAGGCTAAAATAACAAGAATGAAAGATGATGTATTGTTTCACACGCAATCTTTCAAAGTTAAAGCGCAGATAGTGTGATGCATATACTTCGTTTTCATTATCAGGGTTTGAAAGGGTTCAGTAACAGATTTAATTGTTGGCTCAAGACAATTCAATGACCCTGAACAAAAGTATAAAAACTGCTGAAAATGATTGATGTGACATCAAATTTGTCATAACAAATTGGAAAGGGAAGTTGAGCTTATCGAAAACAACTATCAAGCCAGTTTAACCCTTCACCTGCTAGTTAACTCTCAGGTATGAGCCAGTCTCAGTAAGTGTCCAAGTCCCTATTTTTAATCTTCATTGTTTTACCTTGCTTCAGGTGCTCAAGAACAAATGAGGTAAATCTGACAGGTACAGCTTGAATAGAATAAAATCAAATAGACTTTATTAACCCTGCAGTGGGGAAATACACTCATTAAGGCAGCACATACACTTAGAGGTAAATACACAAAGACAGTAGGCTATTGTAATCTTCAACGATTAGAATAACCAATAAACATTGAAAATTGAGTTTTCAAGAAGAAACAGCATAAGGGACACAGACATACAAATGCGCATCCGGGTATTCCACATGTACTGAATATAGCACTGATGTTAGCGTGAAAAGGGATAATGTCAGTGCCAGTTAAACTGAGTTATACACTCAGCAGAGGGGATGAATGACCTATGGTAGCATTCTGTTTTACATTTTGGATGCCTCAGCTGCCTCTGAAGGAGTTGTCCATGGCCTCCACAGTGGAATGCAGTGGGTGGGAGGATTTTTTTACGATGGAGGTCGTTTTCCTTACGCATCCTCCTTTCACACGTCTCCTCAGCTGAATCTAGTTGGCAGCTCAGAACCGAGCTAGCTTTGTTAGCTTGTTCAGTCTCTTCCTGTCTCGGTCAGAGCTGCCTGCACCCCAACAGACCACAGCAGAGAGGATAAAAGAGCCAACAACCGAGTGATGGGAAAATTAAACGTTTTTTTTCTCCATAAAAGAATACTTAATGATTAATTTCTCTTTGTTTGTTTGTTGTCTTGCTTTTTCAGGACTTGAGCCTGGCACAGTTGTCGTAACCAAGCAGTCAGTGGACGCCACCTTTCTGCCCAGGCTAGAGCAGGTGATCCTGGGAAAGACGGTGGTACGCAACACAGATCTGGACCAAGGTCTGGCCGAGGAGCTGCTGCAGTGCAGCAAAGAGCTTAGCCAGTTTGAGACTGTAATTGGCAACACCATGTGTACACTTGATTTCTATGAAGGTATGACTGGTTAGATGATCCATTACTTCTTATTGTTGCAGATTTTGTTTTTTAATGGTAATTAAATCCTTAGGCCAAGCCCGTTTGGATGGTGCCTTGTGTTCCTACACGGAGAAGGATAAACAGGACTACCTCATTAAAGCCAAAGAAGCCGGAGTTTGCAATATAGAAATGGAGTCGTCTGTTTTTGCTGCTATGTGCAAACTGAGTGGCCTGCGAGGTAAGAAGACACAACATGAATACTTGATTAAAAAGTACTCAAATCCTTTTGAGTTCCTAACATTATTGTTTTTGTTTGGGAAGCGGCTGTTGTTTGTGTGACACTTTTGGATCGACTGAAGGGAGATCAGCTGAACAGCTCTCATGATGTTCTTCATGACTACCAACTACGCCCTCAAATCCTGGTGGGTTACTACATCAAGAAGCATTTAAAGGCCAAAGGAGAACATGTGTAACTCTAGTTGTTTCACTTTTTTTTTTTTTTTTTTGCAAGTAAACATTCAGTTTGTGGAAAAATCTGTTAAGCACTAAAGATTGTCTAGAATAGCTCTAAGTTATTCTGATTGACATTTATATTCATATTCTATTGAAGAAAAGCTTGTTCATTACATATTAGATTTAATTTATTGAGTGAGTGAATGAGTGAGTGAGTGGGTGAGTGAGTGAGTGTGCTTTTTTAAATTTTATTTAGACAGAATGAGTGAATCTAAGAATCTTAAACTACAGAAAACGGTGCTCATTATACTGTAAGTTATATACCTGATTAAAACGAAACAAGTCTTTCATTATTTGTTGTGTTATTTGTTAAGTGTGTGTGTGTGTGTGTGTGTGTGTGTGTGTGTGGGGGGTTGGATGCTGCTGCTGCTGTTTGGATTGCTGGCTGTAATGCACATAACACTCCAGCTCGGCTGTGACTGCACTAACCTGTCCTGTGTGACCCTCACCATGTAACCCTCATGTCCATGCTGTCTCTGGAGGAGCAGATAGGAGACAAGATCTCCTGTAACTTAAAATGAACCAAAGCTTCCTCCCAGTTTCTCTTTAAGCTGAATTTAACATCAATTTATCTTCATGAAACAAAAGAATAAAGTGGAACAAGAACTTCTATATTCTATTTCTCTCTACTTTTAACTTCTCCGTGTCCCTAAATAAAAGAGACAGATGATTACGATGTAGCCGCCGTCACTCACCCCGCTCTCTCCCCAGGACCGGACCTCCCGACATCACAGCACTCGGTCTGACTGAGCTCTTCCAGGATAAACAATAATGAAATTATGAAAATAACGCATGTTTGGAGGAGCGTCCTCCGATCCTCTCTCTTGTGTGAGGAGACAGTCTCCCGCTCTCTCTGTCTCAGTCGCTGATCGAGCGAGCGGAGTGCGCCGCGCAACAACCCGCTCAATTAACGTAATTTACAGCCCAAATCCAAAAGAACCGGTCGGGCTGATTCGATTCGGGTTCGGTCTCAGGTTATAACTCCAGCGCTCAGCCCTGCAGTATCACATAAAGGCAGATCAAAGTTTCCTACCCGGTAAATATGGAGAACACCACTCTGACAGATGTGGATACTATGTGCCACTGTTAAAATAACAAAACTACATTCCACTATAGATGGTTACGGTACTCTTCTATGATGCAAAATCGTTCATGCCCGCATCTCATGCATTGATTATTTGATTATTTTCCTGAACTCTATCCTACACCTCCTGGTCGGCCGTCGAGGGTGGGGGGTGCACACAGGGTTTGGGGGCCACAAAGAGAGGGCTCGCAGGCCGGATGTGGCCAGCGGGCTGCCATTTGCGGACCTCTGCACCAAGGTCTACTATGCCTACTCTATCAACAAACTTTAAATATTTAGTTAAACATGCAATGCTGAATTTGCTCACATCAATGAAAAAAAGGTTATTGTAGGGGAAAAAAAAACAAATTTTATACATAACGTTCTCTATACATTATAACGACTGACGTTACTTTTAGGAGACTGTTACTTTGAAAGCTCCCTTTGTTACATTAGAGGATATTATCATTTTCATTATGATTGTTATTTTTAGGGAATTAAACTCTTATTTGCTAACCACATAGAAAATGGTGTTAAAAGTAGAAGACCTAAAAAACACAGAAGAATAAAAACATATTTCACAAAAGAAAACAAATGCTACAATCAGAGTGTATGAAGTAATGTATTCCATATGATTAAACCTGGTATTGTTAAAGACAATGTAAAAATGTTTGCCAGATAAGTGCAAAAATCTTCAAATGAGTGGCACAGTAGTTATTTTTTCAATTTTAGATGACAACTTGTTAACAGAAAAGCTCTTTTCTAAAAAAATGTAGAAAAAGCCCAACATATGTCTTTCTGCAAATCTGTACACCAAAGATACACCCACCCATCTTTTAATAAATTGCTCTTGATAGCGTCCAGAGATCTTCATTCTTGAGATAAAATTAATCATAAACCTTTGTTTCTAGTTCACGAATGTGTCAAGAGTGGGATTTGAACCCACGCTTCCTACTGGAGACCAGAATCCCCACATTGGAATGGAAGCATTGCTTGAGTCTGGCGCCTTTGACAGCTCGGCCATCTTGACTGAAGTTTGGAGTGGTATAATAAAGTTGCAGAGGTTGAATTGTGACCTACCCTCTGAAGTTGTCCTTTGCTATTTCATTGACCTTGTAGAACCACTTATCCCAAGTAAGACTGCTGGCTGTGATAATGAATACAATCGATAAGTTGTAAGTTTGGTCAAATGTCTGAAATGAAGTTGCCCAATCAAAAGCAATTGTTTTCATTCAAATTCTACCCATTCCCAAAACACTTTGGATCTTTAGAAGATTGGTGTTCAACTTCAAAAGCTCTTTTATTGTTACTGAGTTACAGTAATTTGTTGTATCTGAAGGACCAGGGCAACAAACCCTGTATGGCAAAACAGTGTCACCTCACGTTGTCAAACTTGTCAAGATTGTCAAATGCCTGACTAGCTCAGTCAGTAGAGCATGAGACTCTTAATCTCAGGGTCGTGGATTCGAGCCCCACGTTGGGCATTTAGGCCTTTGACAGAGTATGTTTTCATGCAGTGTCACCAGTTTACCCTGAATCAAAATGCGTTTGCTTGAAAAACAGAAATTGTTGCCATAGATTGGGGGAAGTTTTAAGCTCAGAAAACACTAAGAAAAAACTCAAATAAAGTCCCAGATTCTTATGCCAGCACCTGCAATTCTTCTCACAAAAGAACTAGTAGAAAGATTGCACATGAATAGACAGATGTTGCCTTTAGAATCTATGCCTAACATGGGACTTAAACCCATGACCCTGAAATTAAAAGTCTCATGCTCTACCGGCTGAGCTAGTCAGGCTACAAAATGATTACAGACATAAACAGAGTAAAATAGTCAGATAGATAGATAGATGATAGATAGATAGATAGATAGATAGATTCTTTCTTTCATTCATTCATTGGTTGATGACACTGTAAAAAAGTTTGTCACATAAGCGCACAAATCTTCAAATGAGTGGCACAGTAGTTATTTTTAAGTTTTTTATTTTAGATAACAACATTGTTAACAGAAAAGCACTTTTCTAAAAAATTTAGAAAAAGACCAACATATGTCTTTCTGCAGATCTGTACACCAAAGATACACCCACCCATCTTTGAATAAATTGCTCTTGATAGCATCCAGACATCTTTATTCTTGAGATAAAATTAATCATAAACCTTTGTTACTAGTTAATGAATGTGTCAAGAGTGGAATTTGAACCCACGCTTCCTACTGGAGACCAGAATCCCCATATTGGAATGGAAGCAATGCTTGAGTCTGGCGCCTTTGACCGCTCGGCCATCTTGACTGAAGATTGGAGTGGTATAATAAAGTTGCAGAGGTTGAATTGTGACCTAGCCTCTGAAGTTGTCCTTTGCTATTTCATTGACCTTGTAGAACCACTTATCCCAAGTAAGACTGCTGGCTGTGATAAAGAATACAATCGATAAGTTGTAAGTTTGGTCAAATGTCTGAAATGAAGTTGCCCAATCAAAAGCAATTGTTTTCATTCAAGTTCTATCCATTCCCAAAACACTTTGGATCTTTAGAAGATTGGTGTTCAACTTCAAAAGCTCTTTTATTGTTACTGAGTTACAGTAATTTGTTGTATCTGAAGGACCAGGGCAACAAACCCTGTATGGCAAAACAGTGTCACCTCACGTTGTCAAACTCATCAAGATTGTCAAATGCCCGACTAGCTCTGTCGGTAGAGCATGAGACTCTTAATCTCAGGGTTGTGGGTTCGAGCCCCACGTTGGGCGCTTAGGCCTTTGACAGAGTATGTTTTCATGCAGTGTCACCAGTTTACCCTGAATCAAAATGTGTTTGCTTGAAAGACAGAAATTGTTGCCATAGATTGGGGGAAGTTTTAAGCTAAGACAACACTAAGAAAAAACTCAAATAAAGTCCCAAATTCTTATGCCAGCACCTGCAATTCTTCTCACAAAAGAACTAGTAGAAATATTTCGCATGAATAGACAGATATTGACTTTAGAATCTATGCCTAACATGGGACTTGAACCCATGACCCTGAGATTAAAAGTCTCATGCTCTACCGGCTGAGCTAGTCAGGCTACAAAATGATTACAGACAGAAACAGAGTAAAATAGTCAGATAGATAGATAGATGATGATGATGATAGATAGGTAGATAGATAGATAGATAGATAGATAGATAGATAGATAGATAGATAGATAGATAGATAGATAGATAGATAGATAGATAGATAGATAGATAGATGATAGATAGATAGATAGATAGATAGATAGATAGATAGATTCTTTCATTCATTCATTCATTGGTTGATGACACTGTAAAAAAGTTTGTCACATAAGCGCACAAATCTTCAAATTAGTGGCACAGTACTTATTTTTAAGTTTTTTTATGTTAGATAACAACATTATTAACAGAAAAGCACTTTTCTAAAAAATTTAGAAAAAGACCAACATATGTCTTTCTGCAGATCTGTACACCAAAGATATACCCACCCATCTTTGAATAAATTGCTCTTGATAGCGTCCAGAGATCTTTATTCTTGAGATAAAATTAATCATAAACCTTTGTTACTAGTTAATGAATGTGTCAAGAGTGGGATTTGAACCCACGCCTCCTACTGGAGACCAGAATCCCCATATTGGAATGGAAGCAATGCTTGAGTCTGGTGCCTTTGACCGCTCGGCCATCTTGACTGAAGATTGGAGAGGTATAATAAAGTTGCAGAGGTTGAATTGTGACCTACCCTCTGAAGTTGTCCTTTGCTATTTCATTGACCTTGTAGAACCACTTATCCCAAGTAAGACTGCTGGCTGTGATAAAGAATACAATCGAAAAGTTGTAAGATTGGTCAAATGTCTGAAATGAAGTTGCCCAATCAAAAGCAATTGTTTTCATTCAAGTTCTACCCATTCCCAATACACTTTGGATCTTTAGAAGAGTGGTGTTCAACTTCAAAAGCTCTTTTATTGTTACTGAGTTACAGTAATTTGTTGTATCTGAAGGACCAGGGCAACAAACCCTGTATGGCAAAACAGTGTCACCTCACGTTGTCAAACTTGTCAAGATTGTCAAATGCCCGACTAGCTCAGTCGGTAGAGCATGAGACTCTTAATCTCAGGGTTGTGGGTTCGAGCCCCACAAAGGGCGCTTAGGCCTTTGACAGAGTATGTTATCATGCACTGTCACCAGTTTACCCTGAATCAAAATGCGTTTGCTTGAAAAACATAAATTGTTGCCATAGATTGGGGGAAGT